GTGTTAATTGCCTCTCAAAAGTGGGGCGGACATACCTTGATCAGAACCAATGCGAGCTCGGCGAAGTGCGAAGCCCTTATACAGCGTGGGGTTCGGGGCCCGCTGAAGGCCCACCGAACATTTTGTTTTCCAGATGATTTGTGTGGTACGATCTGAGGCAATTTGCAATCACTTTAACCAATTTTTTTTGGAGCCAAATATCATAATTTAAACATCATTTTCGAGTTTAGAGTCATCGAATCAGCTATTCTGAGTTATAGAATCAACTGTATGCTGGCATTTTTTCTGGGAGGAAAAAAGTGCGGGGGGGGGGGGGGGGGAGGAGGGGCGGGGCGACAAACGTATAATATCACCTACTTTAAAAAGTGTGGGGGGACATGTCTCCCCCGTCACCCACCGATCTACGCCCGTGACTTTGGAAATTAGAGAGTAACGGTCTTCGGTTGAATGTGTATATACATGTTAGCCCTTCCGCTTTCTATTTCGAAAAATTAAAATTGTATCGTCTAAAAGTGATCAAGGGCGGATCGGGGGGGGGGGGGGGGCAACAGGGCCCAATGCCCCCCCCCCCCAAAAAAAACGAACCCAATTTTGTTTTTTTACTAGTGACGTCGCAATAAAGGCAGGCACTGCGTACACCACCATCTTTTCCTCAAAAAATTAGTCAAAGTGGTCAGAAATTGCCTCAGATCGCACAGAGCATCTAGAATCCGTCATTTTTGGGACCCACTTTTGGGGGACCAAATTTTTTTAGCCCCCCCCCCAAAAAAAATTGTGTCCTAGATCCGCCCTTGAGAGTGATTTATTCATTTAGTACATTTCACTCTAAAACGTCTGGTCCCCGTATAGTTTCGGCGGTAGGGCGAATTTGAAATAGATTGAATTTTAATTCTTTGGCTCAAGGCTTTCTAAGACGTTAAGGCCAAAAAATAAATAACCGGTCTCTGGTCAAACCGAAGTTCCGGTTTTTTTTTTTTTCAAGCTTGAATTGCACAGACAAGGTACTATTTTGCTTTTTTGTGTCATTATACATTGGTGTCCTCCATAATTTGCCTTGGTGCCCTTTATCATTAGCCTTGGTGCAATTTCCCCATTCCTTGGTGCTCCTTGGTACAAAAATTTGAGGAGGTGCGGCAATAGAGGGCGCTGTTGTAGCTTCCGTGTTAATTTGAAAAAAAAGGTTGACGCGCATATCTTGTTTGCTGTGAAAATTTGATTAAAATCGACGCGCGCGCTGACAGAGACCGAGGTATTTTTTTTTTGGCCTAAAAGTGGCAAACCAGTTCGGCTTTTGTCCATGTTTCACTTTATTCGTCCGTGCATATAATGTTTTCCCATGTCTTCTTCGGAAAACAAAAAGTCAGTTTCGAATATGTCCCAAGCACGGATTTGTCCTTCGGCCCCTTTCTCTATTTAACTTTCTCCATTTTGTTCAATCACCTCATTCGTGCATGACATACCATGAAATAAAAACATCCCCCCCCCCCACAAAAAACAAACATCGATCTTATGTCACACTTTTCACAGCAAACAAGATATAAATTTCAATACCCCTGTCATCGCCACTGATGCATTAAAGTGAACGAGTTTAGATTTCTATGGAATTTGCAATTGAATAAGCATATAGCATTCCTGTCTTTTGATAACAACGAGAACCCACGACTTGCACAAGTCCATTGGTTTGATTTACCACAATCGTAATACAAATGTACCAATATCAGAAGAAGTATACTTACCATTAAATCAAGCTAATTCCTAAAACAACACCTTAAACGAATGGCTTTCGAGCCTATAGCTGAAATGATAACCCGCGAAACTCGGTCATGTTGGGTAAAATCTTCATATAGGGCGCCGGCCGTCTTGTGTTTGATAAATATAAGAGTTTCTCCTAGTTCATTTAAATAAAAAAAATGTTTTTTACATAGTAACATTGAGCTTTGTAAGACAGACAACGTTCCCCAGATTCACCTGTCGCTCGATTTGAAATTTAGTTGGTGACCAAATCGCCTCCCAACACTCGGTAGGAAAAGCGAAGGAAAAAAAACATGTAATGTCATTTTAAGCCAATAGAACACTGGCTCATTTTCACGATTCTTCTCCGATGAATGATTAGTCTGCAGGATATAGGACAGCCATTTGAGAGTAATTTGTTTTAACTGCTAATTTTTTTTCCACAGTGTCAATTACATATGGTCTCATAATCAATCATTAATGAAAAATCGATGTCCCTTTTTGTCCACAGATATTAGCACGGTGTACCTCATTCGCAGGTTAAGAGCGCTTTCAGCCACCTAAGGAGACTGAGTTCCCAATATGCGATGTATTTATGCATGCAGACATCGACGTGGATAGGCTCACTTAATCAACTCCCTTAATCAACATAACCTGCATGCTGTGAATCTATTTTCATTTTGTCGGATAGTAGATAGATTGTGCTACTAGATTTGAAAAAGCTGTACCCACGACGGCGTACCTTTAAAGACACTCCCCAAAATTCCCAAATTGTGGCATTGTGTTCGGTTTTTCATTGACGGCACACGGACCATGAAAAAAGCTTGGCCTTTTTGTTGAAAGTATCCGCGTCCCTGACGCCGTAGTTGTTTGTGAAAACACGACAAGTTTTGTTCACAATGCAGTGGGAATTTGTTCCAATGCCACGGTCCTTATTGTGATTGCAACTTCCGTCATCTCGATTGTTAGCGAAATCCGACTGCTGCTAGCCCGAAATTTCTCACGGACTTCGAGACACTACAATATATAGAAAAGGAACGCATGTAGAAGCATTTCAGATTAGCATCGAAAACGACGGTCTAGCTTCAAGTTGTGACAAGGATTGAAAGAAAAAAGGCCTGAGTGCTCCAGTTTTAATGTTGATTTGAAATTTGTCTCATAGCCAACTAATACCCTTTCCTCCATTAGCTCCAGTGAAAGCGAGAGAAGGGAACTTGATTGTTTTTTTTATTGAACATACCATTTGAAAATTTTGAGAAAATATATTTGGTTTTAAAGATCACTGTGAGAGAACACTAGTTATGTCCTTTAAACAACAGTATTTTATGAATGCCCCCAGCTTAAAAACAATGCCATCCCCTTCCGGTTACAATTTCTCTGCAGGAGTTGCACACTGGGACTCGATAGAGGATGATGTAATTATTTTCACAACAATTTCAAAAGATACATTTCGTATTCTGGTTTACTGTATTTCTAGTTTTACTGTAAATGTGCAAATATCTTATAAATATCCCAAACACTTTTTTCAACTCTGTATACACACAATAAATTACCTACAAGATAACTTTCTGGTAAAAATATATAGCAAAACACATAACACGAAGAGTGCAATGGGGAAAAATGATAAGTTTCCTTGCAAATCACATTAAAACTTTTCTTCCATAATAGTTTACTTGCAGTTTTCAGGTTTTTCGGTTCATCCAATTTGATACACCTGTGAAGCATGTATTTAAAAGAGCATGTTCGTCCGCTCATGTGTAAAAACAAATCACTGAAATTGATCCCTGTCAGAAGTTATGCATGTTCTACTAAAAGAAGACACTTTGACAGCTGCCCACGGGATGATAAATGCTTCGAAGCTATTCAGCCGAGTGAGCACCTGAGATTACACACAAGCATTCATATACAAATGAAATTTTAATAATTTTAGTAAACACTGAAACATTATTCTTACTGTCTGATTTTGTGTTTTGCATAATGAGGAACAAATCATTGCAATTTTTTTCTGAAATAATGATGCCGATTTTCGTCTGTTTTCCTTTGTAAGTTTTCGTCCATGCATAGAGGTTTGAAAACCTTCATGGTTCATTGTTCATGTACATGTATTTAAAGGGTATTTATCAATGCTTATGGGTAAATGATCAGTGTGATATTCGTATTACTGGTGAATACAGCACGTGAACTTTTCACAGTTACTAGAAAACAACAAGTACTTTATTCCTAATGTGTTATTTTTTTAGTAAATGGAGCGAGGCAGATATTTATAAATACTTTTTTTCCAACTCGGTCGATCTTTTCTTTTTGACTCACTCTGTATTTTGGAGTTGGAATTAATACATACGATATATTTTCCCCAATATGTGGATTCAAACTAAATTCATCATTGGCAGAAGTCTCTGTGAACAGATATAGGTTTTATTAGAGCGTCCATGACATAAAGTTTACTTAGGAACATATTTTGTGCAACTTTCTACTTCTTTTAAATGTATTAAAACTATTTTGACATCACTTTTCGGTCAATTTTATTGAAAAGTACACTTCTTTAAACGTTACAAAATGTCCATGCTTTTCCTGACAACATTCAGGAAGGCAATGATCAGCTGTTGTGTGAACCCAACAATTTGCTCATTGAAAACATTTGTGAAAAACGTTTGCCTATTGGCTTACTGTCTTGTGCTGACACAACAACGAATCACCAAAGAAAAGAACTTTTACGACTGCTGCAAAATATCCCAAATTCTGCCAACTGTTGGTGCTGAAATAGCTGCAACATTGAGGTTTCAGCCTAAATGACATCACACTTTTGCACATGAATATGGAAATTTGCATAAGCATAAAAACAAAAAAGTACCAGCTACCAGAATACTCCTGAAAATAGCAAAAGAGGGTTAAATGGAACACAAAGGTGCTTTTTCAAGTATTGCATTAGAAAAAGGTACATTACATGGGCCCAAAACAACTTGAAATTACTGTTTAGGCACTGCATCCTTAGCTCGATCATCATGAGTCCCTGAGTGATTGCTACTGAAAAAGGAGTAAACTTCATGAACTTTAAAGCCCTTAGCACGGAAAAGGTTTCCACTAAAGCACCAGTTTAAACAAAATTCAATTAGATTATAAAGTGGTTCTAAATGTTTATACAGTTGTAATCGGTTCTTGTATTTTCTGGTTCATAGTTTCATTATAGCCCAGTGGTCTTTACAGACCTTATTCACGAGGAAACCTTTTCGATCGTGTTCCCTGAAGTTGTAATCGGTTCTTGTACTTTCTGGTTCATAGTTCCATTATAGCCCAGTGGTCTTATACAGACCTTATTCACGAGGAAACTTTTTCGAACGTGTTCCCTGAAGTTATAATCGGTTCTTGTATTTTCTGGTTCATAGTTCCATTATAGCCCAGTGGTCTTAACAGACCTTATTCACGAGGAAACTTTTTCGATCGTGTTCCCTGATTCATTTTTTTAAAAATAAATTGTAAACTGTTGAATGGGATGGTGCCAGACTTGGCGTGCGTTCAAGCCTCACTTTAATTTTTGTTTTAAAATGTGGCTTAAATCATTAGGGTATGTTATTTTTCATCAGAGCAGGCTGGTTTAATTTGTAATTAACTTTATTCATTGCTTTCATATCTACTCGCAAGTTCCCCAGAAAAATGAAGACTTTACATGGCTTTCAATTTAACATGGCCGACTCGTGAATATTGTCTATTGGGAATTTGAGAATACCACAATGCATGTGTTTCCCATTTACTATACTTGTTTTCCACTGTCACGAAAATAAGTCCTGTATCTATTTCTCGGAATTTCCCCTCGATCCACGTGTATGCACCCCGCCTCAAATTTAAGTTACTCACCAGAGAAATAATACAGATCAACCTATTCTTAGTTTTCATGATATATATATATGTCCTTCATGAAAATCAATCGCGTAAATACTATCAAAGAAAACTGATGGCGGATGTGTCATGTAACCCTTCTACTCTGTGGTCTTACAATAACTCTGTCTCAGACCAAAAGATAAATTTGCTCCTACATTTTTTAATCAATGAGACAAGGGCAGCATGCTTTGTACACCTATACTACACTTCCTACACTCAGCACCGGAATCGACATGGCTGACAATTCCCCCCCTCCTCGTCCGCCACTTTACTGTTACTGCGGAGCTCATATACGGTATGGCATTTCACGAAGATTAATTTGATTCATATCATCTGTACTCGTCGAGAACACTCGCTGTCAAACAACACGACAGCTACCTCTCTCAGAACAATGATAAGTGACCGGGTGATGGATTCAAGGTTGCTGAAAGAAGGCATACAACACGAGAGCGAGTTCGTGATTTTAAACACTCGATGCTATTATCCAACAGAGGCAACGTTAGACCCATCTCAGCTAGCTACGACAAAGTGCTCTTGTATTCGATGCACCAATTTGACAACTGCATGTAGAGAAAAACCTGTATCTGGTATTTTTGTGTCTCGGTCAATTCCAAGGTGTGTGGTGTTGTGGAGATGCAGCATAGCCTTTGAAGAAAAAAAAACTACCCAAAATTTGGCCTGAACTTGACTAAACGTATCTCAGTTCATACAGTGAAAATACAGCTTTTGGTGAAATGTGGAATTAAGCCAGCAGCAAATCAATGCAATGCGGTTGTCTGTTGGCATGATAATATGAGTGACAAGACACTGGATTGCTGGACTCATTGTAAGGCAATTAATCTATACACGTCGAATATTGACACACGTGAACTATTGTCAGAAACCACCCAATTCATACTACGACTGAATGCATTCTGTTACACAACTGTTTCCCAAATATTCACTCGTCCAGAATTTTGTCCAGAATAAAAAGGCTTTGAGATTTCCGAGATAGTAGGGTATAGTGTGCTCAGCTGGAGCTAGTTTGCCTGCTTGCTCCAATTGTTAGCACCGTGGTTTAAAGGGGATTCATTTCAAACATGCGTCAGTAAATGAAATGGCTCTTGAATTTCCCCGTGGGTTGGGGCACATGGGCGGGGCAGGTTCGTAACACGCCAATCTTTGCATCACAACACTATACATTTAATTTAAAAGAACTAGTAGGCCTACATGCAGATTGTTTTTAGAAATCACTTTACAAGACAATCACATAATTTAACACTTTCTAATATAACAAAAGAGGGAACAGTGATAAATAAACTTCAGCTTCGTAGAGATGTGGTCCTCCTGATGACACTAGCGGTGCAGCCAGGGTGTGGGGGACCGCTCAGGTCGGCATATTTGCGGTACCGCGCGATGCTCTGCAACCAGCAGTGGAAGTTGATCCTCTGATTCTCAGTGAACCAGTTGCTTGCGTAAGCGGTGGCCACAAGCATGTGGACATCCTGCTCGAAGTGAGTGCCGCAGCGGGCGTAGCTGTCGTAGCACCTCTTGACGCAGTTGAAGATGCGATTGCGGTCCATGTAGTCGGGCTTGCGGAGGAGGTGGCAGGCGATCAGCAGGGACAGTTTGGAGATGCTCTCAGGAGAGAAACCGTAGGGATACTGGGGATCAAACTCTGGGGTGCTGTTCAAGTGCAAGAAGGTACATTCACCTTGTTTGCGTTGGAGTTGGAGTCGGGCCTCGCACAAGTCTCGTTCGAGCTTGCGACCGCTGCTCTCTGATGTCTCCAGCCTCCTCTTGGTCTGCTTGAGTTGCTGTTCGGTTCTGGACAGCTTGTTCTCCAGGTCCTTGACCAGCTGATCCGACCACTCCCTGGACCTAGGTTCGTCCAGGTCGGGCTCATTGGCGGTAGCCGCTATTTTGGCGCACTCTCCCTGGTGGTGGGGTAGCTCGTAGCGGCTCACCACCGTCTCGCACCCGGCACACTCGACGGGGGCGTAAGCGCAGCTGGTCCGGTGCTTCTCCAGGGATTCAACCCGCATCACAAGGCGGCAGCCTCGGTCGCCGTAGTCGCACTCCACTGTCAGGTTGCTGACAATCTCCCGGATGGCCCAGACGGGGCTGACTTGAAACTTGCTGACGGAGGCCCGACACTGGGGGCAGGAGCCGCTCAGGGGTCGTGCCAGCCAGGTATCAAGACACTGCTCGCAAAAGGCGTGACCACAACGTGTGAGCACGGCATCCTTCATCACCGTCTTACATATCCCGCACAGCAGGTTCTGATCCGGCTTGGAGACGAAGCTTTGGGAAGCCAACCCCATGATTCCAAGTACAAGCGAAGGTGAAATTCTAGCCTGAAAATCCAAATCAAAGGCAAGAGTCTTACTCTAAATCTGGGTCATTTACCAATTAAGAGTAAGTTGGCACTGAAGTACAAACGACCCCGCAAGCATCCTCACGATTTCCCGTATTATACAACACACTGTCACACCAGGCAAACATCAGTGAAATTTAACCAGCTGTGCCTCAATGAACGGCTAGGTTTCGATATGTTGAAGTACATGTACATGTACAACGCGCATGCCACACAATTTCCTTCTCGTAAAAATATGATCATAAGCTAGTCTCACCCTCAGTTGTACATGGCAGTTTGTGTGCCCTATCCGATAGTACGTGTGCAGTGACCTCTCCTGTCAGAGGCTAACCCGCCTCCCGTCCTTGCCTATCGTGCATCTACAATAGATCTTCCTGGGACCTAAGTTTATGCGTGCGTGTACGTGTCAAGTCGTGCTACGGGGCACCCGCATATATGTACGCGTGATTACTGCGATGACTGCAAAAATAAAATTATGTTTCTTGCCATAAAAAAATGATATGCCAAAAATACACATTCACATATTGCACGATGGAGTGAAATCATTACTCCATTGAAATAAATGATTTTATAACGACTTTCATTAAACCATTTTTTTTCTTATTAAAAAAAAAAATTGACGATAGAGACAATATCATATGTGATCCGTGAGTGCTGAGAGAACTGGGTGTTATGGGAATAATGAGGTGTGTATTTAGGGTGGGGTCGAGCAAAGCATAATGCATGACGTCCTCATGGAAGCAGAAAGTCCATTTCACACTTTTTCTACCTTCAAATTGGACTTGATGAAAATGTAATTGTTAATGAGGAAAACAAACAGAAAATAATTAGTTCTCAAACCCGACATCAATACTCCAACAAAAACATCTCACAATAATTTCCATAACTCTAAAATCTCATTTATATCCTCAATGTGTCTATATTAATATATTTTGTATTTTTATGTGCTTACAAATACCTTGGGAGTAATCGTCGCAGATCATATCAAGAGCGTTTCGAGAAACAACGATATAATTCAACGCATGCTTGCGAATCTCTCGAAAATAAATTATGCAAGTGCTCTCGTACCATCTGATATGATGCTGGCCTGCTGCATTTGTTTCCTTGCATGTCTGTTTGAGGAGACTATTTGCATAAAACTCGCGGTCTATTTGCATAACAAACCTATCACATTTGAAGTGTTGACAGTCGGTGGACATTAAGTCCGTTTACTCGCATAATTATGTGGAAATTGATCATTATGACTCAACTTAAGCAAGTTGTAAAAAAAAGCTGTCTATATATATACAAGCGAGTTTAATACCGAGGTGCTAAATATCGTTTTAAAGATCTATACCCAAAACAAAAATTGATTTATTTATTGATTAGGCTTTTGCAAAGTTAATGAATGTACTGCATTTCATATATTTTCTTTTTTCGTCGCTTTGATTTCTTTGCTTTGTGAACATATTCTTTGCAAGCAATAATTTATGAAGGAAGTCTGTTTCAATGCATTTTTGCTCCTTTTGCTTGATTGGTTTCATTATCTGTTTAATAGGGTTGTTTATGCGGTTGTATATATTTATTGAACAGTATGCTGATACACATAACAAAACGTGTGGTTTTCGACGATGTCTGCATGTGTAATGTTTTATAAACCTCTATGTCCGTTGAATCAAAATTAATACACAGATCAGCAATACCCAGCCGTGGCACATGAATGACTTATTACTGAGTTCACGCTGTACACTCTCAGATAATTTAATTAAATTTTTGCTTTACATTTATGACAGAAGTCCTTTTCAGTGTTCACCGGAAACAAACTGCAACCTAGCATCAGTCAGTTAATAATTACTTCGTCTTATGTTTTCTGATGTATAGGTTCCGAATAAACAGTACCGTGCATTATCGAAGACATAGTGCAGCTAATGAGCTTTAGCTACAGCTGTGTGCACGTGACGTACGCAACCTCAGACGCGTTCCAATTATAAACCTTGCTTCTCTTCCTATTAACTCTCTCGCTGGCGGACTGGTCTGTAATTATCATTTCCAACCTCTTCAAGACGGAATGATTACGAGGTTAATTGAGATGGCGGCGAGGCTCACCAATCAGCAAGGTGAAATCTGGATTGATGAGCTCCCGTAGGAGATATCAACAGATGGGCTGGGGAGATAATTAGAGAGGAACGAGTACCTGTCCAATTAGACTTCCTTCTTGTAATGACTCTACCATTTGAGTAGGCAGATTTTTGTTCTCCAGTGGGGAAAACATTTTGTTAGTCGGTATAATGAAACTGCATAATTAATCGTCTCGTTGGCAGTTTTTGAAACTTTGGCCTCGTTCTAGCTTCGCTTCAATCTTCGGCTACACACTTAAAGCCTTTAATGTCCTCAGCCAAACGGAACTGTAAAACGTACAAGTGTGTATTTACCCATTTGCCTGACGGAATCGGGGACCCCCTATTGTCGCTCTTTTGTTTTATAAGAAGACCTCCCATATGTTTTGTACATGAATCAAAGTTGGGGACCTCTCGGGAATTGGGGACCCTATTGTCCTCTTAGACTATTGTTCAATGTGTCCTATTGAATGCAGAAACAAGCTTATGACTATACATAGTGTCCGCCAAGTCGGAAAGGAAGCCGTTGGTCTTAGTGAGGGACCGATTGAGAATAAAAAGGACCAAAGGATCTGAACTTATCGAATATGCGTCCCAATAAAAACGCCAATATAAAAAACCATAATCAAATCTGTGGCTAAATTGGATGTAAGTTCATTTGAATGAACATGGTACATCAATACAAAAAAATATTACACATCACCGATATTGTTTTGTCAGGGGATGGGGGGGGGGGGGTTACGCCCACAGTAATGGCAAGAAAGCAGCGTAATTAGGGAGACATAACCTGATCCTTTACCCTCACCAATCTTTAGTAAATGTGTGTTTTGCATCACAGGGAATCGAATCAGCTAATTTTCGACACTAACAGTTTGCCTTAATTTATAGGACTTGAAACATTATAGGGAGACATTCAAATGTCGTTCATTTTTGGGGGTAATATTAAGACTGGAATGTGTTATCAGATAAGTTATAACTGATGGCTTTCAAAGAAGATAAGCAACCTTTTAATTTATTTCCTAAATTGTAAAACAAAAGGTGTCTAATTCTCTCCTCCGATTAAAACAAAACTCGTGGGGGATGGCCCGTCACACCCACCCCCTCCTCCGATCCGCCATTTTGGTTGGATATTAGAATTGTGAAACAATAATTCACAAAATTGTAGAGGACTTCCATATTTATACCCCAATTTATCATGATTTTTTTCCCATAAAAGCAGGTGAAAAAAGTGTTTTGTTCCAATGCAAATTTGGACCCAAGGAACAATAGAATTGCAGACACGTGTTTAGTTTAATCAATAACGCTTTGTTGTGGATCCCTTCGGGGCTTTTTCAAGGTGATGTTTCTCGCTCTATCCACCTGCTATCACGCCGTCTGCCACAGCCGACGAGCACGGTCTGCGCTCGGTCAGGAAATACCGCCAGGTGATTTTTTAATAGCCTATACTGTACATGACAACGACAATTTGGACGGACACAATGAAACCTTTTCAACTCCGCATTGAGAGCGTTTTTGTTAATAATTCTATCACTTTAGTACCAGTTGCATGCATGTTATTACACTTTACAACAAGTAATATTTGAATGTATATAACACCAAAGCAAATCCTTGTCATTTGATTGGAGGATTGTTGGTCACGCGGCATTCACTAATCGAACCTTTGCACGGCTTACATCATAACCGTGCATTTTTGGTTCCATTCACCGTGTGTTTTCGACGGTCCCATCCCTTTTGATATATTGCACGCCGCGCGCATGCTAAGACGCGCAGCGGCCCGGCGCTATCTTGGAACTATTTAGACCATATCATGCGTTTTAGCAGTACAAAACTTGCCTTTGAAGTGGATGCAGTTGTCTTGATGAGTTTTTAAAATTATTTTAAGAACTTACAATGTTAATTTCAAACCTTTGTTAGCCTTGAACAAGCTGGAAAAAAAAGTAGTGGATATGATACAATTTTGTGAGTTTTGTTTGTTCTTAAAGTTTTATCCTCCAATCGAATGGCAAAGATCTACTTGGATGTTATGTGAAAATATTCTCACCATTGCACTATAAACATTCATTATTTGTATAATAGCGAATAATATGGTACTAATATGAATAATATAACATACGTCTTGAAGGATGCTCTATGGGCTGGTGGAAACAAGAGCATGAAGAAAATCGTCCTCCTATTATTCCTAAAGGAAATCCCTCAGTTTAACATGACCGTTTTTTTACCAAATTTATGAACATGACGAAAGTGAAAATGGTTCATCTCCAGAGTACTTTCGCTGTGTCTCAGTGTGGCGTGATGGCCGTGTGTGGGTCAACGCACGGCCGTTGGGCGCTTGTAATATGATATCGCACTGTAGCTCTAGCTAGACCTCTATATTGTACAAGCTGATTTACCCGATCATAGATCGGGTAGGGCGTAGTGTTGGGGATGAAAATGTGGGGAGTTAAATGTAAATGGGGGGATATAGTTGGGGCATGGTTGGGGAGACATGCAGTTATAGAAAAGAAATGTCTGTGGTGTGATCTGAGGCAATTTCTGACCACTAAAACCAATTTGAGCAAAAGATTATCTTTTAAAGCTTTGAGTTTGGAGTAATTGAATCAGCTACATGTATTCTGAGCAATAGAATCATTATTATAGGCTACAATTTTTATTCGGGGAAGAAAAAGTGGGGGGGGGGACCAAACAATGTCCCCCGCTTTGAAATGGGGGGGGGGGGGGGGGGGGGTTCCCCCGTCCCCCGTCGATTTACGCACATGATAATCATGTACCATGGCAACTGTCTGTAAATGTTCCCGTTGGTATGCTAAATTGGCATTTTGTGAGGCAGTCGCATTTGGAAATCGTAGTGAAAAGGTTACTGTAGTACACAGGCGAAGGCTGATTGTACAGTTTTGACAATAATCATAATGCAATAAAATGTGAAGGTGTCATTTGAAATGAAAATGTTGAGTGTTACCATAAAATTACAAACGGTCTGAATCATGGAGGAAGGGCATAATTAAGTTTCAGTATTGGACTCTTCAACAAACGTAAACTTGAACTTCTTACAATTTGCGAGACCGTCTGAGAGGAAAAAGACAGCGTTGTGGACAGTTACAATGGGTGTGATTGCCAGTGATGTGTGCGCGCTGCTGTCTTGGACATATGAGACACCTTCCTTCGCTGGGGGCGCCCAACCGGCATGCATTGGACTCTTCCGTTTTAAATGTACTTGTTTATAAAATAAAAAAGTGCATAAAAGCACATGTTTATTCGGTTACAGCCCGATAGTCCGAAGGTGAGTCCGAAGGTTCTTCAGTCCGAAGGGTCATTAGTCCGAAGGTTCGTTGGTCCGAAGGTTCAATAGTCCGAAGGTTCGATAGTCCGAAGGGCCCATTAATCCGAAAACAGAAGAAGGTTAAATAGTCCGAAGGTTCCATAGTCCGAATAGACGATATAGGGTTCGACCTATCGGACTATCGGGCGGACAATAAGGTCCGATAGTCCGAATGGACGATAAGGTTCGATAGTCCGAGTGGACAATAAGGTTTGATAGTCCGAATTGACAAGACCTTTGTTGTCGATTCGGACTATCGGAGCTAATTGACAATTCGGACTATCGGACCTTATTGTCAATTCGGACTATCGGACCTTATTGCCGATTCGGACTATCGGACCTTATTGTCGATTCGGACTATCGGACCTTATAGTCTTTTCGGACTATCGAACCTTGTTGTCTATTCGGAATAATTAACCTTCGGACTAGTGAACCTTATTTTCGTTTCGGACTATGGAACCTTCGGACTAATTAACCTTATTCTAAATTCGGACTACCGAACCTTCGGACTATTTAACCTTCGGACTAATAAACCTTCGGACTAATGAACCTTCGGACTATTGCTTAGAATCACTGATGGCAAAGTGTACTATACACTGAGCTGAAACTTCAACAGGTTAGGTATTGAACATTCTTCTCTGGAATTTGAGTGGTGTAATTATTGGAAACAAACAAAATACATGAAAAGCAAATGATCCTATATGCCTTTCAACTTAACATGAGCAATTACAATAGAAATGAAATTGCAACAACAGCAATGAAGACAAGACCAGCTGATATTGTATACAAGGGGCACATTTATTTTAATGATCTGAACCACAGTCCATTTATCACTGTTATGATACACTAGGATGTGATCCAACAATTTCTAGACTCCAGTACACTATCAATAACATTTTAAGTTATTTTTTTACACTGTAATTTTTTTCTTACTTTTTTTTTAAAATTTTAATCTCACCACACGAACGACAGCTAGACCACATAAGTACGGCTAGGAGCTTAAAGATTGTCCATCTAGCTAGTCATTTTGAACAAAGGGATAAAAATGACTCCACGGAATTTTTTTTTTATATTCAGGAGTAGATAATCCTTAAAATCTTTCAATTTGTCAAAAATCTCGTCCATTTGCACACATGAGCTTTCAGATAAAATCCCCAAAAGTATTGAGGCCTAGATGAAACCTTTGGTATTAAAACGAAAAAAAAAATACAGAAAATAAATTATCTTCAATACAAAAGATGTTGAGTTTATGAATTTCATTTTCTTTCAACCATACATTTGCACTTTTTCAACTTGTTCAATACTTTTTATTTTACTGCATCTGAGAACATTAATTGGTTGAATGAGACCTTAATGTTACATATTCAGTGCTTTGAGCTCACGCAAGTTAAAAAACAAAATAGATCACCTTAGGATTGGGATTCATGATTATTTTTGTCTACTTGTGAAGACGTCTCAACTCTTAAGACACTGACCAATCAATTAGATTAGGATGATTGAAACCAAAAATTACATAAATATGAAACAAATCTTTCTCTTCAAACAAAAACTACTATAGATTTGATACTGGTACTTGAATTCTTACTCGATCACTGATATAAAAAAATGCATACAACATTCTCCTGGCAGTCTGGGTAAGTTAGGAAAACAGTGGTACAAGTACGCACAGGTAAATTCTTTTATGAACAAATTAAAAACAAAAAACAAAAACAAAACCGTCACTGCGTAGTCACTACTGCAAGTCACATTATTCACCTAAGAATCATATTTCAAGTTTTGTGTCCGGTCCGCATGATTCACAAACCATTTACACATGCAGTTTAGTTTACAGTTTAATACATTCATTGATTAAAATATTGAAACGGCACTTTTTTTTTTAATTTAGATTTTAAATTGGGCTAGTTTGGGGAAGGGGAGGTTCGGGCCTTTCAAAACCAAAATATTGATCAATGTCAAAGGGGTAGTGTCACTGGGGAGTGGAAGGGGTTTTATATTTTCCAAAAGACAGCCTACAATTTGTGATAAGATTTATACAATTTTATCTACACAGTTAAATTAACCAGCTAATTTTATTTTTGTTTAATTCTACACAAATAAAAGTTAAGTTTTACGCACATTCTGTTTTGACAATTAAGTCTTTCAGAACTGACAAGTCTCACCTGTCCCTAAGCGGACGAAAAAAGGGTTTTTTATCGTCCGAGATTATGCAATCCATTATAAAATAAATAAAACAACACAGAAAGACTGCGAAATTCAAGAAAGAAAATGCCTCCTGACTAATACTGCACAATAAATAAACAATGTACAAGCCTTCAGCTCAATTTCCAGATGTATTTCTAAAGTACAATGGGGCTTGTCTCACTTCATATTCAGGAAGAGTTCCGGATAAGTTGTGGGTAGAGTCATTCACTTTGTCCGGAACAAGCTCTGCATTTGTCCCAGACATGTTCTGGGGAAATATTCATTAGCAATTGCTTGACTCGCTAATACTGATAACTTCATTGCGGGAATATTGCGGGGAAGTTGTTCAGAATCCTGCAACTTATACCCGATACAATGTCTGCAACTTGTCTGGAACTTGTCCCGAATATGAATTTAGACGGCCCTTATATAATCGGAGCAAAATCAGATAAATGAAATGATTTTTTTTTTTATGTGGCTGTTAACATGAATTATTTTAATGTCAGGAATTCGATTTTTTAAACCTGTCTTGTTGTCAGTAAAAAAAAAAATGCAAATTGAGGGGACTAAAAGTTGGAGCCTTACCCACGCATACACTTCGTTCTCCTCCCTCTCAAATTATACTGCCAAGTATCGATGTCATCATTTGATACATTTCCAAAGCAAAAGCTGACATGATTATTAAATGAATCTATCCTATCTACAATAGCACACATTAGAAACAATAAAACACATGACAGTGTGTTCCAATACGCAGGGATAAAAATGGGGGGGGGGAACCAAAAAAACCCAATATTCAACTGCTGTATGTTTTTGATACCATTTCTGATTATAAAGAAAAAAATCAACTGCTGAGTATTGCCCAAAACTACCATATATCTGCTTCAAATCTGGGTAACCATTTGGAGTCTTTTATATTACAAATTTGTAGGCACCAGGAAAAGCCATCTCCAATAACAGCTCAATGAAAAAGCGTAAATAATAGAACTGAATTTTATGAATTAACAGTTTTTCAGTAACATCCCCAGACAGAACCTCTGTGTTATTTACTCTAATAATTTAATCGCCAAATTTATTTGTATACCCCTCATCAAAGTTATTAATTATGGAAATTAGTCATATCAATTCTCTTATAAAATAGAACCGCGCCTGAGCGTTTTACTCCGCAAACGACCATGTTCCCTTTTTACCACTACAACGAGTACAATCTCACGCAACAACAATGAATACTTTGTTTCATATAAGTGTAGGAAATGTGAGAACGTTCTTAATTATAGAATACATGTAAATACAGGTTATTATGGTACCATAAGTTCCTCGTACGGCTTTCGGGTGGTAATGGGCACCCTTGACTTCGTCTTCGATGCCATTTTGCAGGCGTACAAAACGTCAAGACTGGCATTCGTTTGTCAGTCAATCTCGTTGTTCTCTTACAGTTACACTCTTAAAACACAGTAGTTAAATATGACCAAAAATAGTCAAACCTGCACGCAGCTGACCGCGCCGCTGTAGTCAGTTTGACTGTTTTCAATTCAAATTTTACTAGGTGTTTTACAGTGTACCTTTGCTGTGTTGTCTTTTGAGAAAAAAATGTACGGGTTTAATTCATACACAATTCCACCAGCATCATAATTATGATACCCCATAACTTCTGCAACATTTGTGTAATTGTATATTTAGTTATATATTAAACTCATAGTTGCCTTATTACAGTGTTTATACGCGTTTTCCCCTCTTTTCGTCCCTGTACTGCAAACAATACAAGCGCGTCCCTCGACAACAAATCAGAAAGCACCACCTAAAAAGAGGGCGCTGTTGACGTTTTGGTTACACGTAAGAATGTGTGCTAAAGAGGTACAGCGGTAACTAGTGGCGTATCCAGGAGGGGGGGGGGGGCACCTTTTCCCCCTATTTCCCCCTATTTCCATAAATGGTTAGAGAGTTCTGACATGAAAAAAAAAAGCCATTACAATGCGCTGTGAAAATCGGTGTCAGTATGCATATTAGTGGTCAGATTTGAAGAGCGCCCCCTTTAGGAAAAAAAAACATGTCTACATTTCGGCGCGGATGTGCGAGTGCGGTTGCCCCTCCCCCATCCCCCCCCCCCCCCCGACATCAAAAGCTGAATACGGCACGGCCGGTAACGAGTGGGCGGGGGACCACTTGGCGTTCCAAAACACACCACTGTATCTAATGAGAAGGTTGGAGCAAATTGTGCCCAATGGGGATAAAAGGGTTGATGGATCCCAATGTCCATATTTCGTGAAGACAATTAACGTGGTAGGAAAGAAAAAGAAGTAGGCTGACCTACGTCGATTTGGACCCGAAAGCTGGACAGTCTAAGTAGGAGACTTGGAGTAACTACAGGGTGAGTCAAAAAAAGCGGAACCTAAATATTAAAAAAAAATATTTAGCACCAAAAATAAGAAAGACTGGAAAGCCAATTTCATTAGGTACTTTTGGATGAAAAAATGACTGAAATTGGCCAATCCGTTCAGAAAATATTACCATTTAAACACAATAACCCTAAAACCTGTCTCGTCCAAAAAAAAATGCGATTTCAAGAATCGTCGTCGCAATTGTCTTCAAACATCACCAGCGATAAAATCTCAGTTTAAACATTAAAAATATTCAACAGAATCCCTTTGAAGGCCCGTCCTTTTAAAAAAAAGGACATTTTAAAAATCATATTGTTTGCCTAACCAGGGTTGTTTGTGTACTACAGTTGGTGACAGTTGTTGAAACAAGTATTCTGTGTCATTTTCTTTGTTGTTCGAAACAGTCAAAACACAAAATGAATTGGTTTTTTTTGGACGAGACAGGTTTTTGGGTCATTGTGTTTAAATGGTGATATTCTTTGGACGGATTGAGCAATTTCAGTAATTTTTCATCCAAATGTAACTTTTAAAATTGGCTTTCCAGTCATAATTATTTTTGGTGCTACATATTTTTAAATATGAAATATATTTTATGGGGTTTGGGTTCCGCTTTTTTTGACTCACCCTGTACAGTTGTCAGTCATATAGTTGGGCAGTCTCTGGAAAATATAAGTGTATATATTCATAACACCTAACTTCCGGTTTGATGACGTCACAGTATTTGGAAGCAAAAGGTGAACATTGTAATGGATATCGTTATTTGGGATACGAAGATATACAACATCGATGAAATGATAAAATTTAATATAAAATATGATCATTTTCAAATTCTCATAGGAGTAACTTCCGGTCTGATTACGTCATGAATTTGAAACCTTGCCAAGTTATCTGTGGTTAATTAGAGAATATCAAGGGGCGATTTCGTAAAATTTGAACGGATGGATTTCAAATTAAAGAAAGCAAACAATATTGTACGTGCCGCTAGGGGGCGCCCTTTTGAATGATGACGTCATCACACTGTTTTTTGTGACTGGCATTTCTCACTAAACACTTTCATAATTTATATGTATGTAGTAAAATGCTCCCGCTTTTGAGTTACATTCGGTTTTTATTGCACTTCCGGTAACACCGGAAGTGAATGTCAAGCGGTTTTGTGTCTGGGGACAAGAAATGTTTCTCACGGCATAGTCTACAACCTCACGAAAAAAACCCCACGATACTCTATTTAGTTCAAAAGATATAGTGCAAACTATTTTGTCAAAATTTTCCCTGAAATCGCTTGTAATTTGATATCTGATGACGTCATGATGACATAACAAAATTTATAACATCTTTGTAACATGGTACAAGCTCACACTAGGTTTTATGATCAGACCGTGAACCGTTCGGAAGAAATTTTGCTTTGTTTTGATTTCAGGCTAATGTCTTCATTTTGAATTCGCCTAACTTTGACCTTCCGGTTGACCTGGAAATAAAGGTCAAGCGAGCTCACGTACGCGACGTTGCTGCACGTTGCAATGACGGGATTTCACGAACCTTTGATTCCCGTCTTCTCGCACCTCACCCTGAGACGCCCCCTCTTGTCCCGCAGGAGTCCACTCTTGGATTAAGGTAGATGTTACATGGTGTTGTACTATGAAATCCACAAGTTCGTCAATGTAACTGATAGCTCCACACAGTACCTTAATCCAAAAGAGATACATACACAAAAGAGATACATACACAGGGAAACAAATATGGACATTGAAAATATTGACAAAGTTTCAGTCGGTGTACCTGAAGATTATTCTTTCTTTTCTTTTCTACAACGAAAGGAACGCGTCCGCGTATTCAATCGCTCACGTGATATTGGTGGCTACCTGAGCTTTTTTTTAAAGCCTGATAGTTTAATTAACACGCTTACGTGAGGCGTTCCGGGTGACCACAAGCGGGCGCTTTACTTTTTTCTCCCATGCATTTTTTGGTCAAAACAGTAATTTGGCATATTTTTTACCGTAAATGAAATGCTTTAGACATTCTTATGAACAAACTTTGGGTCAATCAAACAATATTTGGCATATATCACGTCACCGCTAGAGGTCGCTATACCTACTAATTTTGGGGAAAATATTTTGCATTCGCTGTTTTGTTCCCAAAAGGTGACTTTATCTATCTAACTCAACACGAATGATGTACTTGATGGTAGTGTTATAAATGCTTTGTATATTTCATGCAAGGACTGTAAAAGAGTACCCCAATCACAAAGACATTGTGTAGAAAATTAGAAAACTAAAAGCGGCTTTAGTCCAAATTGGCAGCCATATTGGATTCCCAACATAGTTTAAAATGCACGTGTATGGGAGTAAATGTTGTGATTTTTAGATTGATTTTGCTCTACTGAGAAAGTGTACCACGTAGCGGCCTTCAGACCTATTCGTGCTCAATAATTGGGCTATGAAGATTGTATGAAGTTTATTTTGAGAGCAAACCCCATATTTTTGATACACTGATCTAAATACCACCCTAACAATGACGTACTAACAATAGATGGCGGTCATCTGGGATATTTTGAAATGGCCGCCATTTTAGAGCTATTTTGCTCAATAACGGGTTTGACAGTCGTTTGATGTTCATTTTTGGTGGCAAACCCCATAATGTATGATACAAATTAGAAATCCAAATAACACACCATTATTTGGATATCTAAAAATAGCGTCAACTTTTAAATATCCTAGTTGGACGTCATCCATTATGTAGTACGTCATTACTAGTGTGTAATTAAGGTTTTCACGAACTGACAGACACTGCACGTCATTGTCAGTTCGTGAAAACAGTGTCGGATTTTATATATTATCAAAAAACCCAAATTTTTAAACTGGCAGGATAGCAGGTCCACGATAACTCTTATTTGAATTTTAAAGAAAAATAAATGAGAGACAAATGAAAATGTATCAAAACATCATCATTTTTAATCACACAATGCAAAAAAAAAACTTAAAAAAAAACTAGAGTAACATGAGGCCCTATGACGAAAATATTTACATACTTAATCGCATTTAAGAATTATTGCACAAGCTGTAAAAGCAATGACAGAAACAAATCCGAAAAAAATGACAACGTAAAAACTGACAAACGGAATTCAAACATGACTGCTACCGCAAAATGTGTGCAAGTCCGAAAACGAATTCGAATGACAGGATTCTGAAAACGAGTCACAACAGGTTAAATAGCAAAATAAACATGTGTAATAGCAAACTGTGAAAAGTTAACCAAGGGCGGATCTAGCTTTCGTGAAATGCATATAAGAGACGGGGGCGAATGAAGGCGTGACCCTGCTATAAGGGTTCCGGGGCACGCCCCCTCCCCCATTCTAAGGCAATTTGAGAATAAAGTGATGAACTTTGAGTCAAATTATTATTAATGGCCCCAGTTTGCTAGTATCATTACATCCTTTTCCGGCAGCTGAACGGGGGTTTGGGAGGGATGGGGGTTGGAGCATCCCCAGAGATCCGCCTTTGTAACTCCTTACAGTCCTGAATCCTCCAATTTTAATGTATTTTTCCCCTACTAATTTAAACAGATTATCACCCAAATTTGCTTCAGAGTCATCCATTGTCATTCATTTTAGCGTGAATGTGAATGCAGTTTAAGAACATTGTTCAATTGTAACTTAAAAAAACAAACTAGAGCTATGCCTGTTCGATGAACAGGACATAGGGGACCATGGATGGACATGTACAAAGTCTAGTCTTTAGCCTCATTTTGAAATCACACTCCCGTTCTTGAATCATGACTTTCAATATCTACCCATTACGAAGTTTAAAGATTAATTTATTTTGGCGTGATTTTCCAATTTTATATCGAATCGCACAGTGAACACTTTGAAAATGTCCCCCAAAATGAAGAAAATAATTCTCTAACACATTTCTAGTTGGGTGTGTAAATACAGATATTATGGTTTATCAGAATTTATCAACTTTAGAGAAATGTAAATTTGGAATTTTCCGAGATTTATTCAAGTACGCCACGTTGGGGAACACTCAGCTGATTTGTGCCCAATAAAATTTCATAACACCGAAATTGTTCACAGAGGTTAAATAGCAAGCATTAAATAATAAGGTCAAATAACCAGTATTTCACTGAATGAATTTGAAGTTTGTCAACAAAGAAGTTTGTCAACACACTACATGAGGATAGGTCGCCATGGTCAGGGTAAACACCAAAGTGCGCCACGTTAAGGAACACCACTATAGTACTATATGCAGACGTCACTAATTTTTCCCTGTAATGACCTATGTATCAGTGTTACCAATCACAAAGCGAGGAAGGAATGTTCCATCCTGATGACGCTACTTTCGAAACAGAAAAAAGATGTTTTGTTTTGCTTATCTTGTAGTTGTAGCAGAGTACACTTTCATGTGAGAACTGTAAGGGAATATATTGACAAAGTCTTGAAGAGAGATTTGTAGGCGAACGTGTGGCCAACTTAGTGAATTTTGCATGCCGCCACATGTTGACATAGAGGAGGCCCTCAACCGAGAAAGGAAACATGCAGTGGCAAATACAAATTCACTACATATTCACCTACCAATCTCTCTTCAAGACTTGGTCAACATATTCCTTACAGTTCTCACATGAAGGTATACTCTCTGACAGTCTGAAGTATCATGAGTATATGGTACAAAGGTAAGCAAAAACAAATGTATTTTTTCTGTTTCGAAAGTAGCGTCAGTTTGCAACATTTTTTTCCGATAGGGATGACATGCCGTAAAAAAGTCAAAGGAAAGATTCACATAGGCCTATCTGGCCATCAGTCATTTTTCCCTTAAATGACCTTTCACTATCAGCTATGAGAAAGTGATAATTAATATGTCCTAAAATAAAAAAAAAGTCAAAATTAATAGCAGGGACAAATTTTGGATTTTTACTGAGAAAACACTTAGAAATTTTCAGACCGGTCCCATAGGGTTTGTGCACAGGGTGACAAGTGATGGCCAAAATTGGAATCTTTCCGATTACTACACACAGGGCTACAGTACAGTCATGACAGTATACTGCTATAGGGCAGTATGGTGTCAAGTGATGTCGGTGCACGCACAGCCACAGGGTGACAAGTGATGGCCAGATGGGAATCTTTCCCAAAGAACTATTCAAACTAGTCACAAAATCTCTCTTATTTCACATACCTGGATGAACCTGACAACTTACGGAGTAACTATAGAATGCAGGGCTGGTGCCCAACTTACAGTTGGAGAGTGCAGTCACAATAAGATTAAGATCACGATATGACCACTTCGGAATGCAACAGTCAAGACTCGGTATCCGATCTTCACAAACTTCTGTTTTCAGATCATTCGATTTTCGCGCCCAATACAACAGAAACGCTGCCGTTACGAACGAGGGCGCTGTTTACTTTTTATGGTCAGAGAGCTCCGGCGCGTAATATACTGTGGCCGAATACCGACAATTGAATCTAATTTTTGTTTTTTTATAAAGATGCCAAATTTTGCAACCACAACAATATGACAAAGATGGATAGATATAAGCTGTCCTATAAATTGTGTTTCAATCAAATCGGAGTTGTTCTCTACGAATAGTTCAAAGATTTATTAGCCGTTTCAGCTAGAAAACGTGTACAAAGTCTATGCGATTTAGGGTGGACCCAAAAATCAAAAACAAGATAACAAATCAACCGATGACGTCACGGTTACGTCATTTCAGATTTTGCATACTTGTGACATTATCTACCTACCCACCAAGTTTCATGACCATTGAGCCTTCCCATATTATGTGTTTTCAAAAATGGCATTTTGATGACGTCATCGTGACGTCACACATTTTAAAAAAAATTGGGTATATACATATTACCTAACAAACATAATACAAAAAGAATTTTCAATTTTGCACGTTGCGTTCGTGAGATATGGCTTACAGCTCTAAAAATTAAAAAAATTATATTAAATCGCACGATGACGTCATCGTGACGACACATTAATTTTTACCTATAACACATCCCGGTCTACCTACATACCGAAATTCAACCCAATCGGACTTATACTGTTCTGTAGATATAGGCCTTCAAAATATGCAGGGTTGTGATGACGTCACGTGACCCATGATGACGTAATCATGACGTCACTCTTCGAGACACAACTTCACTATAGGGTCTTTACCTGAGATAAGTTTCATTGGAATAGGACTTTGTTTTAGGTCAAAAGTGGGTCACACCAAAACGTGTACAAAGTCAATGGGATTTGGGGTGGACCCAAAAAGATCAAAAAGAAGAAACAAATCAGAACAAAAACAAAGGCTTTTCCGCTGTTCAGCGGAAAATCCAAAAAAAAAAAATCAGAACAAAAACAAAGGCTTTTCCGCTGTTTAGCGAGAAAGCCAAAAAAAAAAAAAATCAGAATAAAAACATTTAGAGCTGTATGTCTGTTTGCAAACAGAACACACGGCTTTTTCGCATGTTACAAATGTTTATGTTTTGTTCGTCCTTTTGCAGTACTTTCCAGAGTGCTTCATGCAGTTAAAGGATGTTCAAAATGCTTAGAATAATTCCTAAAACATTATTTTATCACATGACGTCACATGCACTGCAATGACGTCATCTTGAAAACCCTTCTCAATGCTCATTTTGTCATTGTGGTCTTGGTTTGAACCAAGTTTAAAGTCAATCCGATGAAAGAAAGTGTGTAATTTTGGAAGCAGAATGAAATGATAAATATTTTAAAAATCATAAAAATCAAACGATGACGTCATCGTGACGTCACTTCGGACTTTGCATACTAGTACCATTATCTACCCAACCACCAAGTTTCATGACAATCGGACCTTTTCTTATATGTGTTTTGAAAAATCGCATTTTAAATGACGTCATGATGACGTCACACATTTTTCAAAATTTTCTGCAAATACCTATTACCTAACAAACCAAATACAAAAAGGATTTTTAATTGTGCATGATGCGTTCGTGAGATATGGCTAAAAGGTCCAAAAATTCAAATATTCATATAAAATCTCAGGATGACGTCATCATAACGTCACCTCATTTTTTACCTATAACACATCCCGGTCTAGCCACATACCAAGTTTCAACCCAATCGGCTTACAGTTCTGTAGATATAGGACTTCAAAATATGCAAGTTTGTGATGACGTCACGTGACCCCTGATGACGAAAAATTGACGTCACTCTTCGGGACACAACTTTGCCATAAGGACAATGAATATGCTGAACAATGTATGACCAAGATGAATGCCAAAAGTGCCGCACAGCAAAATCGTGTACAAAGTCTATGGGATTTTTGGCGACAAAAAGAAAGAAAAAACTAGAGCTATGTCTGTTCAAACAGAACAGAGGGCTTTTTCGCATTTAATAAATGTTTATGCTATGTTTATCCTTTTGCAGTCACTTTTTAGAGTGTTAAATACAGTTTAAGGTTGTTCAAAATGCTTAGAATAATTTTAAAAAATGGAGCTGTATTGGCAAATTGCGAAAAAGCCCCCTCCAAAAACAAAAATCAGAACAAAAAGAAAGGCTTTTTTGCAAATTGCGAAAAAGCCAAAAAAAAAATCAGAACAAAAAGAAAGGCTTTTTCGCAAATTGCCAAAAAAGCCAAAAAAAATCAGAACAAAAAGAAAGTTTTTTTTGCAAACTTGCGAAAAAGCCAAAAAAAAAAAAAATCGGAACAAAAACAATGCTTTTCACCAACGAATAAGCAGTTTGATCAAAATCACTTAAGTAAGTATATTCTGACCAACATGAGAAGGAAAACCTTTACGATTTTTCACACCACATACAGGGTGTTAGGGTTAAAGACTTTTTGGAAACAAATACAGCTTTATTGAAGAGTTTTGTGAACCCAATTTTCATGAAATCAGTGGTAAAAACAGTTTGGTAAGCAAATACACCAGTAAAACTTGGCGAAAATAATTTACAGAATTATAATGTAGATAGATTTTTTTTTACTATAAATAGTTACGTATATATACACGAATTATGTAAACACGTCCGATGTTTTACTTTTCCAATGGCAAACTTTACACAGTTGCAGTGAAAGTTGTCATCCATTGTGTAAAGATTACCATGTGGTTTTCATGTGTTTGCAGTGTGCTATCGCAAAAGACAAACGCGTGAAGCTTCTTCGTACTTTTCGAACAATAAAAGCCACCAAGTTTATACGTCGTCGGCCTAGGAATCGAGTCGATAAAAGGTAAGATTAGAAATTACCCAAGCCTATAAGTTTCTAACCACATTGTTTGGCAATTGTGAACCGAAGATGTAAGAACACGTCAGTTACGCGTGACGATCATGTTGGCTATTTGACCGTAATACGTGAGTTACTATATGCACGTACTCGAGTTATTGCTGTGAATTCGAACCGGTGGTGTTGGTTTGGGCACTCGGCACCGAGTCGGTTTGCATCATATTTAGCTATTGCCATGTTTTCTGAGTAATTTTCCAAGGATCTGAAAAGTTCTATATGGTTTTTGTTTGTAATAACAAAACATTGAATTGAAATGTAGAGTATTTTATCTTTTTGTTTTCTCAGAAAAAACTGGACAAGATTGAACCAACAGTAATTCAACGGGGAGTCTCGATGACGGCCGTTTGGGATCACTAAGAGGAGATCTTTGAAACAGACGTCCCTTAAGTTTCTATTTAAGACAACTTAACTATGTAATCAAAAACAGTTCGGTTACAAGAATAAAGGGCAAACAGAAAATTTACATACAAATTCATTAAAACTCTACCTAATTGAAAGTTACATTTTTAGTCTTTCTACATAAAAACGAAGTAATGTTTACCAGGGATTCAGTAAAATTTTACCGAAGTATTTTTATCAAGAGATTATGTAACTTAATTTACCGATTTCCAAAGTAAGTTTTACAAAACTATATGTATTTACCAAGATATAAAGTAAATTAATTTACCCATTTTCAAATTAAAATTTCACTTAACATTTCTGAAAAACCTTACACCCAACATCGATCGTGTAACAGTTTTTTTTAACCTAACTATTAGGAGGTTCGTATGGCACATTGCAAACATGAAAACAATTTACTCAACCTGTGTCATCTTTTCTGTGTGGGTAAAACTCAATAAGATGTGCTTTATCTCTATGTTTTTTTATGAATTGGAGCGAGCCAAATTATTTTTTAAATATTTTTCAAATTCGGTCACTTTTTTGGGGGTCTCACTCTGTATGACAAACAATAAACATGGCCTATAATAAACAAAGGGGCACAGGTCGTTTTTCGTGATTTTACATTTTGAGGATAATTCTGTTGTGCAATCCAGAAAAAGGGAGTGGATAAGTCTGATTAAGAGTACCTTACGATGTGTGAAAAATCATATTAAAATTTGAGGATTCAGGAATGTTATGCACTCAGCGATTTAATAACCAAAAGCGCAGCGATTTTTAAAGGTCTGAAGAGTTTTTGTTTCAGTGATTTGGGGGGGGGGGGGGGAGGGAGATTACAAACAGTGTCGCCCTAACTCTAATATGTTTGAAGGCCTACCTCAAATTTGGTCCCCTTGCCCAAGAATCGCGGTGGAATACAGGTGGCCAGTGCACTGAATGCTCGGTTGAGTCTCTGGCGTCTGCGGTACTCTCGTTCCGTTGCCATCTCCCGTCTGGTATTCACAAGCCCTGCCTCTCTCGCCGTAGATGGCATGTCCACCTTGGTCCTCGACTGCTGCTTACGTTGATTCAAAATTGAGGACATTCTGCCAGCTTATTATTGTCGCTCCTGACAAGTAGAAGTTGCGGTAATATTTTGCTTGTCTAAGCGGGAAGTTGTTGGTAGAATGTAGTGATCGCAAGTTTGCCTGTGTTTTTTATATCTTGCTGACAAGTTTTTTCAGCCTCCTTCTTGCTGATTGGCTGCTGAATGCCGTGACATGCATTCTGATTTTGCTTGATATCTCGTGATTGGCTCATTTTTTTTTTTTTTAATAACATATGGGGGTGGGGAGATTTCGAATTGAACTATGATGAACTTTAGCCAAACGAAGGCCATACAGAAATTTACAGTATTTCTTGAAGAGGTCTGTGGCTTGGAATAATTTTAAAATGAATTTTCAACAAATAATTTTGCAGTCTTTCCATGAACCTATTTGTACAGAGTTTAATAAAAGTTATACAGAGTTTATTGTATTTAGAGGACAGTACGAAAGCGTAATGTTGTTACACGCTACCAACCCTCGCTATTATGATCGCTGACAAGTGACAAATTATACTAAATTCAATGGGATTTCAATAATTGGGCATTAATATATCAAAACCCATTAAATTAATTAAAAGATGATTTACTCTCATTTTTGAAAACAATATACTGCATTCATAAATTACTTAGTGTTATTATTCAGTATTTTATGTTATTATTTGTTTTATGTCGGCCTTTACACATACATTTTAATCGATTCCAACGAAAAACTGCTGGCATTTTAGTCAATATTCGAACACAGACAATCAAGATGTTTAAAGAAAATCCAGTGAAAATCTGGTAATACCCTTCACCACAGTTATTCTCAGACAACACACAAAACCACGCATCGAAACAATGACTGGACTTTTTGGCATAGTCAGTGAGCCGCTATTTTATTTCTCCTTGGTCAATGTTTCACTTGATTAAATGGCAGTGAATACCTTGATAGACTATAACGGAACAGTTAAAATTATCTTTCGATTTACTTAAAGTTATTTGCCTAAACATTTTGGCACGCTTGCCATAAAACGGGGCACGCTTGCCCCTCCTTGCCATGCTTGGCATCACTGGGCCCAAAACCTTGGCACGATTGCCAACCATTCACTAGCCCCACCAGAACAAGTGGGTGCTAGCCAAAGTGTTTTTTTAGTTTTGTCACGTGAATTGAATATATGCAAAAATTACTTAATAAATTGGAAAAGCACCCCGATTTGGTCCACCGCTCGTAGATGCGGTCGGCATGCCCCATCAGTACAAATGGGTGCTTGGCGTACTTTTTTACAAAGACTAAACACAACCTGTTAAATGTTTAACGTCCAAATTCCAAGTCTTACTTCGGAACTAATTGCCCAACTTGTTTATTTAGTTTGAATTGAGGCACTGCCCGTCGCTCCCAGGACGTTACTGCCATTTATCAATTCGTAAAATATGGCGGATGAAGGGGTTTATTTTTCATGTAGCGGTCTCAAAAAGCTAAGCCGAACTGGCCTTTCTTGCCCCATATGCACTTAGCGCGTCAGCGCGCGCGCGTGAACTTATTACATTTGTATCAACTTAGAGAAAGCATCAATCGTTATGCCAAGAAAATCGTTTTTGGCTTCATGCCATCAAGGGGCGGCTTACTGCAATTAGGCCAATCGATATGTTTACTTTTGTTTACTTTTCCTACACTATAGCAACCATCAGCTGATAAAAGAAAGTGTAGGAGAATAATGTATTTTATCTTTCAGTGTAAAATGAATTATTTACAAACATGAAGTTGGGAAAACTTCCGATAATATGTTCTTGTCAAAAACAACAATGGTCTTAAATAAAAATAAAAAAATCGGTATATTTTTCTGGAATCACGTTTTATAGGTTTTCAGAAAATATTGCATAACTTTTATTTGGGGATGGGGTGGGGTGGGGTGCTCGTAAAATTAGAAGTTTTTAGACCAATGGACCTGAATCATGATGACGTCACGCTTTGTTTACATATTTGCTCTTTCTTATGAGACCTTGGATGCTCTCGTAAGCAAACGCATCTGTAAATGAAGCGTGACGTCAATTTGATTCATGTTGGCCGCCTGGAGATATGGAAGTGGGGGAGGGGGTATGGATATCATTTGACGCTAGGGGCGCTCTTGTTCCTTTTTTACTTTTTTTCATGTATTTGTGTTAAAAAGAAGGATAAGTAGACAACGGCATAAGTTGCCGTCCCTAACTCTGTGGGTAGGCATTACATTCACTGTGTGGACTTCCGAACAAAAGAGGTCCACATAAACCAGGTAGAGGCGACGCTGTGTGGGGCAAGTCCACACAGTGTTCCCCATTTCTGGAAATCAGGTTTAGAGGCATTTTGGGGTTAGGTTTATCCGTGGCAAAGTGAAGAGAAACACTATAGGGAATCATAGAAAAAAATTGGGTTGAAAGAGTTTTCACAGTTTGAGAAAAATGAGTTTTCACTGGTTTATCTTAACTACACGAAACCAAGGGAATGTCCACACTTGTACGGTGGCCCTGGAACGACATTTTAATATTGACCTTTTTAATATGAACCTTGTAACTTCTTAATATTGACGTTGTACCTTCGCAATATGCACGTTGCACGTAGCTTAATATCGCATTGTGGAAGTTGTTCCTTGAATGTTCCAACTTGTTAATGTTCACGTTCGACCTTGTCAATGTACACCATTGATCATGCTTGATGTCAACGTTGAACCTTGCTTCTTCGCAATATGAACCATGTCCCTTCGCATTGTGAACGTTTGACCTTGCATCTTGTTAATATCATTGTTGAACCGTCCTCCTTCGCAATGTGCATCATGCATTCTAAAAAGTACGAAGTCCTTGTCAAGCCCTATAGTTAAACAACCAGTTATGATGGAGTTTCAATCTGACAGCTGTTTAATGTCACTTAACCTGGGTCTACCTTGTAGTGATTTTTATCATGAATCAAGGCTCTCTGATTTATTTCACATATCTTTTATAATTCATGTTCAGGCTAATGAGCGCTGTTTCACTAGAAAAGATGTGTTCAATTCATGAGACTAATTAATTTCCTGACAGTATACTCTCCGTCAATTACAATAATGCAAAACAGTGTTCTGTGATCACGTTAAGAAGGCTTTTATCATAATACTTTACATCCTTCAAGCCCTATTCAGATTGTTTTTGTGTTTTTAATAATAGTTACGAGAGATTTCCGTCGAGATCCGCGTATTTAATTAGTATAAGAGTATGATCTAAAGATTTAATTGAAAGGAACATCATTTATATGCGGTGGTACCGTTACGAAATAATATCCACGTCTTATAAAGCATGACAACAATAGTAAGGGCATACATTGATATTTATTACTTCGAGGAAATATCGGGGATTTCACCAACGGTCCCATTCCCGTCAATCATTGTAAAAACCGACAGCGCGCGGGGCACAAGTGGCTTCGGTCAATTGTTTAATTGTTTATTCAGTGCATACACCCGCCATACTCGAGCTTGTCTAGGGGCTAGACGTTTTTATAACCCGCCCCCGCGAGAGAGCGCCGCATCACGACCGCACCGTTGCGTTGAGCGCGAATCACGTGTTGCCGGGGCACCCTATACAAAGTTGGTTGCTTGGAGTTCATGCATACATGACTGGTCGTCAGCCAATTGCGAATATTCTTCATGTTGCGGTCAGGCGCGGATATCCGGGGAGGGGGGCGGTATGTAGGGTTGGACTTATTAGCAGTAGCCCGAAAACCAAATGCTCGTCAAAACAGCGGGGATCTTCATACTATTTGGTAAAGAGCCCTGTTGGCGAGTCAAAAATTATTGGGATATGGCAAAGATGAAAGTACAGGAAGAAAGAAATCATTACATTCAAAAAGCAAACCGGTATAAATTTGTGTATAGTAAACGGTTGAAATGATTAGATCGGGTTATTTGAAACAATGACAAAGTTGCTTCGGGATGCATGTTTTTACATGTATGCCCAACCTTGGGTTATGGTTAGCCTGAACATGAATGATAAAAGATGAGTGAAATAAAACAGAGAGCCTTGAGTCATGATAAAAAATCACTACAAGGTAGACGCCCAGGTTAAGTGACATTAAACTATAGGGCTTGACAAGGACTTCGTACTTTTTAGAATGCATGATTCACATTGCGAAGGAGGACTGTTCAACAATGATATTAACAAGATGCAACGTCAAACGTTCACAATGCGAAGGTACATGGTTCATATTGCGAACAAGCAAGGTGCAACGTTGACATCAAGCATGATCAATGGTGTGACAAGATCGAACGTGAATATTAACAAGTTGGAACATTCACATTAAGAAGGAAGAACTTCCAAAATGCGATATTAAGCCGCGTGCAACGTGTATATTGCGAAGGTACAACGTCAATATTAAGAGGTTACAAGGTTCACATTAAAAAGATCAATATTAAAATGTCGTTCCAGGGCCACCGTACACTTGGTATGTAACGTATGGGTGGGTGTGAGCTTGTCTTACATACGCAGTGTGGACTTCCGAACAAAAGACGTCCACATAATGTAGGTAGCAGCGACGAAGTGTGGACTTGCCCACGTCCACACAGTGTTTCCCCATTTCTGGAAAACAGGTTTAGAGGCATTTTTGGGTTAGGTTTATCCGTAGCAGAATGAAGAGAAACACTAAAGGGAATCATTGAAAAAAAATTGGGTTGTAAGAGTTTTCACAGTTTGAGAAAAATGAGTTTTTCCACTGGTGTTCCTTAACTACACGAAAAGAAAGGAAAGTCCACACTAGGTATGTGAAACAAGTCTGGGTGGGTGTGTGTGTGTGTGTATGGGTGCCCTAATTTTCTATTGCTAGTGGAAGGAAGGACCGAGTAATGGGGACTTTCTGCTGTCAACACAGCTTCTTCGTTCCAGATAGTATTTTTTTGATCGTCTTTAACTCTTTCTCAAATCGTCATTTCTTTCTCAAGTATTGATTATCCCACTCCTCTACCATCTCTCCCCCAAAAAACAACAAAAAACCAAGAAACATCAGAGAAAACCAAGGGTGTCAATCGCTTTTCAAAAGTGAGGAGGGCATACCTTTATGAGAAGTAACGGCCTGGGGTTCTGGGCCCCTAGGGGCCCAGAAACAAACGTTAGATTCTAAACGCTCTGTGGTGTGATGTGAGGCAATTTCTGACCAATGTAGCCATTTTTTAGCAAAAGATTATCATTTAAACATCATTTTCAAGTTTGGAGTCATTGAATCAGCTATTCTGACTATATAATCATAATAGGCTACCATTTTTAATCGGGGATAAAAAAGGTGGGGGGGGGGGGGACAAACGATGTGATATCCCCCTCCCCATTTCAAAAGTGGGGGGGGGGGGACTTGTCCCCCGTCCCCCACCGATTGACGCCACTATTTTCATAAAATAAGTTTTGCCTCCGTCTCCTTTAGGCAAGATGAGTAGGCAAAATGACTATGTCGTCGGGGTTCACCAACAAACCCAAAGCGGGATGTAATGTAACCATCACCTGGCCCACCTGCCGTGCTGTTGACTTTCACTTTAAGCCACAAACGAGAACCTCTCCAACAACAGATTCTACAGAAAAGTACCTGATACCTCTTACAAGAGCACATCACTTATAAGCATAATGATAATCCGAGGAAACCTTTGGTATTTAAAAAAGAACAAGGGGTCTTAAAAGGGTCCTGTTCGGTAGGTGGCCATTGAGTAAAGGGTTCCTTAAACCCCCAATTCATCTTCACGAGAGAGTGCAAGAACACGGTTAGGCCTAATCCGATTTTGAGTCTCCTCCGAGCCGAAAACAACAGTGGAATGAATAAGACGATCACACTTAAGGGTACGCTTTAGAGGCCTACTTTGTTTCCCGTAATTGCTTTTGCAGAATCACCATCAGTTAGGCGATCGCACAGTCCTTTGTGTGGTCTTATAACACGTACCTGTATATGAGTCTAGCAAACTTGTGATTAATGAAGTATCATACGAAGTATTGCCGGATAAAACTGCCACAGTGGTAAAAACCGACTAATTACTTTCAAGAACCCTACAAATATTATATTTCATAAACTAGGATACGAGTTAAACCCTGAAAAAGTTGTGGGTTTTTTTTAACAAACGAAATTGAAGGTGTACTTTCGTCCGGGGTTCGCAAAACAAAATTAAATTCCTTCCTATTGTTTACAAACCACATTTGAAGGGTTTGGGTCTCATAAACATCAACACAGTGTCTTACGTTTACGGAGAAAAAGTTTTAAAATCCCAATTTTGTTTACATCTGACGCGGCAGCGATTTTTGCCTATACGTATTTCCAGCAGTAAATGAAGCCATCGATTTTTTTGTCAAACTGTTAAATGCATATGCAAAAAGCTCATCCTGGAAGAGGAGTCGCTTTAACAGTGCCCCATACGGCACACAGTTTGGCTAAAATCACATTTCTTTAGGGTTGCAACTTTAAATAGGGAGCCTAAGTGCAAAAGCGTCGCCAAAGTGTCAAGGTGGGTAACCTATACACGATGCTTTGCGTTACAGCCTTCATCCGCGCCCTCGGCCTCGAGTCGAGACTGTCTATTGGTCGACTGAGCGGCCAATCAAACTGCAAAAGTCTGATGAGCAGATCTGTCCCGTAACAACAAATGGTGAACCGCAGCTTACCTCGGCTCAGTGCATACCTAGGACTAACTCCGTCAGGTACAGTGAGTGTGGTACCAAGCTTTTCACGACACTTCGTGTGCACGGCTGCTAAGGGGATCGTCTGTTGTAATCTGCACACATTAAAACGCGAGGAGTTCCTTCGGATACGAGATGAACATAGGGACGCAGCCACCAGTCAGCCTATCGGCTTTAGGGTCTGTGGCAGCCGCCTACTTCAATGCCGGAGCCGCTGCGGCCACCGCGGGTAGTACACCTAGCCCTCCGTCCCGGTTCACCATTGATAACATACTGGCACCGAGGCCCTATCCCTTACACCATCCAACCACTAGACAAAGCCCGTATTTCCCAATGGCTTCTCATCCGCACTTCTCCATGCTACCCCAGGAGTATTATTTGGGTGAGTCAATATTGTTTCCTTTTTCTTTTTTGCTTCTTACGTTTCAAAGAACTTCAAGTTTAGGGGGAGAAGAAACGTTTCACTAGCTTTACTTGGCTAGTCTTGATGCGCGTTATAATAGCCACATCACGAAGCGCACGGACTAGCAAACTTTGAAGTTGTCACGTGATAGACTATTTGACTTCATCATACAGTTCTTCAGTAAGAAAATTCTGTTCCGCTTAGCCGCGAGAAACTGTGGTCCCAGATAAATGAAAAAGAAACAGTTCATATGAACCTCAATAACTTTAACAAACTCTCACAAAACTACATGTTAACTATAACAAGTAAAGTAATCATACATTTTGCTTACGGAGCGTATTTTTTTCAAATGTTTAAATTCCAGCAGTATCGTTTTATGGCAAATAATCGCGCGTGGTACAAAGTAGAAACAGTATTTTGGGGAAAATTACTTTAAAACACTGAGTGTATGTTTTTAATAGTTCAAAACAAGGCATCTTTTTACTTAATTTGCAAGCCGAAAGGAATACGTGTCCTCTACTTTTTCAGGGCACGAACCAGGTATACTGACTTTAAAAAGAACCTGTTGAATAAATTATTTTGTACGAATATGTGGCTTACCATTAAGACCGGTCAAATTGAGGTTTTCGGATGACACCATGTGGACATCTATTTTGTAAAGAAATGCTGGTTCTTAACGAATCGTTGTTAGGGTCGTTTCTTTCAGGACACTCTCAGAACCTACACAATGATTTATCACATGAGATTGCTTTTCATGGTGTCATTCGCAATTCTAACCGCATGCAAAGCGTCAAATTATACTTTGTCAAGAATGTCTTCTGGCTTCTTCCATGGTCTAGGGCTACCAACTTTTGCTGCGGCACACTTAAAAAAAACACACATTGAAAATGTAAAAAATTCTAATTACTTACAATATGATCACTGTAACTTAATACCAAAATACCGAGTACTCAGATAAAAGACGCTCGTATATACTTTTCAAGATTCAACGTCATTGCGGAAAGAAGTCTTCCTGAAATTGTATCTCAAAAAGACGTCTTTTTGTCATATCCTCTCGGAAAATCTGCTTTCTGTGATGTGCTTTCTCAAAAGACATCTTCCCTTAGTTTGAATCATTGAAAACCGTCTCAGTAATTTGACTTTTCTTGATAATGTATCACTAAACTATAGATGGTCACTTTAATCTCGCGTAATAATATAGCAATACACACGATACAATTCTGTCTCTGTCTCGATAACATAATTAGCATTCGTTCATTGTCGGATAAACATGTCAAAAATTCTGTCTTTTCGACGATAGTAATTTTCAGCGAGGGTACGGCCGGGTATAGACCGTAGGGGAAAGTGGAAGATTGGCTTAAAACTCAAAGTGGAGAAAGGAAAAGTTATTGAGTTATTGAAATGTAGTCCTCGTTTTTATATTTGGAGTAACAAAAATAGTAAATCAAACTTGCTTACTCTATGTTAAAAATGAACAAAACAGCAATGATGTGGTTTTGACTTCAAATATATAATAAAACCAGAAAAAAAAGTAATTACTGTATTTGATAATTTATGAAATCGTGTGAAAATTGCCCCCTCCCTCCCGTTTCCAACATTTGCTTTGTAATACAGTGAAATCTCGATAAGTGAAAACCTCTTCTAACTCAAAGTAAAAAATTATCCCCGTCAATTGTTGATGAGTACAAAACTCAAAACTCTGCTTAACCCAAAATTTGAGCCCATTCCTCTGATGTTTGACTTATCGAGATTCAACTGTATATGCGAACTCTTAATCAGTATGGTAATCTAATGGTAATGATGTGGATTTTATTGGCAATTTTATTTTATTCGATGCAGATACTTAAGTTAACGTGACAATCCATATTTCCCCGTTATCGACGGCGATCAAGTAACAAAGAATGGCGCCAAATTTACGATGTCGTTCGGTGATTCTTATGAAATTTGTTCTTTAGACAAAAATAAATCTAGGAGGGATGTTTAAACACTCATAGATAATTGAGACATGTTACAGATTAGCCCATTAAAGCAGACATATTTGCGTTAAATTGCCGCTTGTTCCTACTATCAAATATATATGTGTATAAGATGGCAATCTACTTTAATAGGCCGCCACAGTTAAATGTCAGTGTCTGGGGGTTGGCCGTCTCTCCCTGAAGAGCAAGGACGTGTGGCGAATTCTTAAAAAATAATCTCCAAACATTATATCCTGCATGGAAAACAAACTATAGTTTTAAAAAGTTCACTGAAAAATTGCCTGGGTTAATTTCACCCAAGAAAGGGTGAAAACTGGAACTCCCCAAACTTGGGTAGTTCTATAACCAATTGTTTGGGTTATAATTTATGTTAAATTCAACCAAAAGTTGTAGTCATGACAATACCAAATTAATACAAGTCAAAATGCCGTTTTACGCATGGGCCTATACGAAGAATCCAGGAAAACATTGAAAGTTTCCGACGTGCCACGGTAATTGGTAGGAAACACTAAAATAAATTCAGCCTTTGGCAGCAATTTGAATTTTTAATAAAAACCAACGAATCAGTCATACAAAAAGTAGCGTCAAATTTTTCTTCCCGGTCATCTGTTTTTACCTCAGTCTTCTGATTTTTACCATGGCCTTCTCCATGTTTTACCTTAGCCTACGCGCCGTTCCCCGGTTACCCTCACCTCGACCTACTCGCCCGTAACCAGAAACGCAAGCGGCGTCACCGCACTATCTTTACGGAGGAGCAACTGGAGCAGTTGGAGGCTACCTTCGAGAAGACGCACTATCCCGACGTGATGCTGAGGGAAGAACTGGCCATGAAGGTGGATCTAAAGGAGGAGAGAGTCGAGGTAAAAAAACCCATTTCTTGGTAGAACAAAGAAACCCTCACATTAGTCTTAGAAATTCAAATTAAATGCCCCCTCAAGAGACTCTGCAGAATAGAGTGCAAATGTCATTACTGTCAAATGGCGCTGGAATGTTTCTGAAATTGGAGGAGCACAGTGCATCTGTAGCGGAGTATAAGACCACTTATAAGTAAGTGCACTGAAAAATTGCCTGGGTTAATTTTACCCAAGAAAGGGTGAAAACTGCAACTACCCAAAATTGGGTTGTTCTATACCCAATTAATGTTTGGGTAAGAATTTCTGTTAAATTCAACCAAAATTTGTTGTCAAACAATACTAAATTTAATTTGGTCTTGTATGACTACAACTTTTGATTGAATTTAACAGAAACTCTAACCCAAACAATTGGTTATCGTACAACCCAATTTTTGGTAGTTGCAGTTTTTACCCATTTGGGGGTAAAATTAACCCAGACAATCTTTCAGTGAGGGTGGGCAATAAAAAAAATTCACAAACAGTGAATCACATTTAGAACAGTTTTAGCCGTTCATTATTCACGTAAAACAGTCAGCAAATGAACGTTCGTACGTAGTACACCATTTCATTGAGGAAACAATGAGTATCCTGCAATCGCACATTTTGGTATTTCACAAGAACGGTACGATCGCATTTCATAATATTTGAGTTAAAACTCGGGAAAGACATCGGCCAAGAAAATGTCACGAAGATTCGAAAAGAAGAAAACAAATTGCGATAATATCGACACAGATGTAAAGGAGAGGGGTGGACTATCTCAAGGAGATTGTGTGATAAAAAAAACACCTGCCTTCTCGTAAAAATGAAGAAATTCTCTTGACATATACTAAACCATTATTTAGTTTATTTATTTTTTATTTGTTTGCTTTATTCACATTAAACCTGATCGGCAACAATAAAGTTGTTAAATGATCAGTTTACATTATAAACAAAGCATCAATAGAAAAAGGCATCAAACATTACTAAGAATACATTCATTGAGAAAACAAATCACACACAAACGCTTAAACACATTCTGTAAAATGTAATTACCAAAAAATTACAAGTATTAAAAATTCATTAATAAAAGAAATCACACACAAACACATAAACAAATTCTATAAAATGTTGTAATTCTACAATGATGTGGTTGTAAATTGTGAACTGCCCTTATCATAATGAGATCGCCATGGCTGCAATCCGGACTCATCCATGGTCCTGTTTACCACCCTTGCATCATGTCCCAACGGTCACCCGTTACAATATCTCCTCGTTAGTACAGCTTGTTTCATCCACTGTCTTTGTACCTCTTCTTCGGTGGTGATTGCTTATACTATTATCCGCTTGACGGGTCTTACATTATTTCTTTCTTTCGTCTGTCGCGGATCAGTAAGGTTTGCTCCAGGCCGACAACATCGGGTCCGGAACGGCCCGATAACAACCCCACGATAGCCCCTCGAGCGAGGATCATGATCACTGGACTTGATTTAAAATATTAAGGGATTGAGGGCAAGAGCGGGTTTTAAAAATCAAATTAAGCTTCAATAGCCTTGTGGCGCAAGCTCCTTGGATTGTAAAGAGGACCCGGTATTTACACCAGGTATCCAAGGCTGGGAGTTGTTTGTGTCTCGTGGTTGTTATTTTCACTCCTTGTTCCCTACCGTTGTTACCGAACCAGCTAGTTTATGTACCCACTGTTGTTGGACCTGCTGGCTTGTCACTGGAGTGCTATATTCACGGATGAAAAAAAAGGATTTACTTTTAGAACCGCATTCGGCAAATTCGCGTAATCGCTTAGTTTTGTTGGGATTCACAGTGGAACAAAAACACATCATTTCTTTTGTCCTTTAAATTTGTATCTGTAGCAGAAGCGTGTAATGACACAAGTCCGAGAGTCGGTGGCTTTTTCATAATCAACTGGCGCGGAGTGAATTTGTAGCAGACGCATCGAGGAGATAGAGAGAGAGAGGGGGGGGGGGGAAGAAACGCTTCAATATTTAAAATCAACGAATTTATTGCCTCTCTCGAAAGAAGCTTACGGTTTTAGAACGAAATCGGATTTTAGGTACTCTATCATTTATCAAAACTATATAGCCATATAATGGCTGTGTCTGTGCAGCGGCGGAATATGTGAGATATAAATACACGAGGGTTCATTATCCGCGTAAGTTTTGCCAACCTACCGGCTAAGGCGAGCTTCACCGCCGGGTACGAGCGAAGAATTTACCCGGTGACAATTTGTGCTGGTGGAACCCATTGTCCCTTATCCGGTTTAGGGCCATGTGAATCTTTATTTTGCCGATTTCAGACAGAATAGCGGCTTCCCCCTTCGTAAGCCGATTCCCTGACAGATATCCCCTTGTTTTCTGATACACCGTTGCCTGTTTGCAAGGTCTTTGGCCTATTCAGACGGAGAGATGGCAGCCTGCACATGTGGGTCTTCCAATGCGCTTCACTGGCCAGGCCTATACTGCGAGCTATGTTGTTTACATGTTACGGGTCGGGGTGAAGCAACCCAAAGTAGGCGGAGCCTCAACCCTCTCAGAAACGATTCATTTATAAATTCTATAATTAAAACTAAATAAATAAAATAAAAAAATAAAATTGATAAATAGGCTATATAAATAAAAGAATAAAATGAACGAAGAAAATGCTTAATATAATCGTCAAAACAAAAATAAAATTACATAAAAAATAATGAATCAAAAAGTAATAAACATAATCATTCATAGCTTCATGAAATAAATTATTATAAAAGTAAACATATATAATTGTGAAGGGAAAGAGCATTGCAATCGGTTTTTAGAGCACCCACCTTTAAAAAATGACAAATTATTTATCGAAAGATTTATGACTGTAATCCCATGCAAGTATCTAAACGAGGCATCCGAACCACGAGCTGCTGATAAGAAAACTGGAATTTTTGTTTATTAATTACCTCAATGCTGTACTGCTATAAGGGTAGTTAAAATTTCTCCAAGAATTTCCCGAGAGCAACACATTTATGACTTATTCCATCTCATGAATTTATGACTTTTATTAATATTCTACAAATCAAGAACTAATGACGGCCGAAAATGGGCTGAGAGGCTAGTATCAGTAGAATTATTGCGTAAAAACAACTAATAAATACAACTTCAACGCACTGAAAAAAAACTGTAATTAAGTTGAAAAAAAAAAGAATCGGTTAACATTCTGATTTAAACACTCCGTAATCCTGTGAAGCAATTTGCCAAAATAAACGTCAGGGGAATTGTTGATTCCTGAGATGATTGATTAATATAACAAATAATTGTGGCGGGGTATAGCCTTCTCAAATCATGGGCATGACCACGAAATTTTTACACGAAACTATCACTTGAAAGCCATAACATCATTTCCTTTACGTCAAAACTCCACGCCGTCTCCATTTACGAAAGTGAACCGTAAAACAGGATACTCTAAGAAACTTGGGCGTTTTACCGCTGAAGAAAAAATAATACCTGAGAGAGATTTCCAAAATCGCACGAAAAAATGATTTTATTTAATTAGAACCATTTTCGTTTTTTTGCTTTATTTTTCCATAGGTGTGGTTCAAAAATAGAAGGGCTAAGTGGCGGAAACAGAAACGCGAACAGCAAGAGATGGCGAAGCGTGCCGCCGCCAACGCCGCCAGCAAGCTGAGCGCGGTCCGGAGTGACTCTCTCAGCGGCAGCCAGCGGAAGGACGACGCCGAAGAAAGCGAGGAGGACTCGGCCCACGGATTAGACGAGAACAGCCTCTCCGATGAGGACCTCGAACACAACAACAATAACAGTCCGGGTTCTCAACCGACCGCCAAGCCAGCCGTCAGAGGTGGGGACTTGCCGAACGGGGCATTTTTGCCATTCGGCGGGATCGGTCGAGGGTTAGACCCTGCCAGTAGGTCTATGTATGCCCTGCCTAACAGTACAACTCCCAAATTCTGAGTGAAAAAAAAATTTAAAAAAAAGGCTCTGTATTAAAATTTTGAGTCTGATCTTTGCCGAAAAAAAAAACACCGAGGCGCATTATTTATAACAAGCCACTCGCACGCGGCAGCTTTGCCTATGCAAATACGCGAATATAAATCGTGTTGCGGAAAAGGCATAACGCAAAAAACACCATTTATGGCGTCTTGTCTTGCTTTTATGATGTGGATTTTGCTATAATTACAACAGCAGCTGGAGGCCTAAAGCATGTTGGAGACAGTGGTGTGACTGTGTACTATAACGATAGACCCGAATGAATCCACCAAGTTCCAAACCCTGGCTGTAGCCGAATGAGTACCAGGGAGGAATAAACATGCACAACACCAATATTCAAATGATTGTAAATTCCCGCCGATATTAACTATATGACGTCAAATGTAGACGAGATAATTTGCCGGTTACTTTGAAGAACCATTACTTTGAATACTTTGAACAGACATTTAAAATAGAAACAACTTTTATCTTGTATGTTGGCATGCGATGGAGAAAATTCACTGTTTGTGTTTCACAAAGATACTTAAACAAAGCAGCTCTGTTTGAAATTTGCCCGTACACTAGCCCGGGTTCCTGACAATGTAGAACTTGGAATGGACACAGACTTTGCTGGTATTTATTTGTGCAAATTAATCAGTCGTGGCAAACTGCGTATTATTTCATGAATAGTTATTTTCGTTTGATAAAATAAGCAAAATGCCCTTTAAGTTGTAAATACAATATATAGATATTATTTTATAATGCTGAAATGTAAAATAAAAAAAATGTATATTAAATTATATAATACTAGACGCACCTTAATGTGTCTATTTGATATGTCTTTAAACCTTCAAAAACGTTAATTGATAATGTGCCCGAGTGGAACATGAATGTCTTTTGGTGTAAGCAGAAATGTATCAGGCTTATATAGGATAATTATCTTCATCACATTAGATGAGCTTCCTTAGCTTTTCATGTTGTGCATTTTGTGCGATGTTGACCTGCCTCAACAACACCAACTATTGACATCAGTAGGATGTGCAGGGAATGAAATGTGTACTGACCCTTTGCATGACAGCCATCTTGGAGGCTGTAGCCTTTGTTCCATATCGACGGATATGCATGGTAGACCGCTTGTGTGTTCATCGTTGTAGAATTAGAATATTAAAAATAGCCCAACATGCATAATGCAAAGTTCTGTATCGGCACAATTTGATCCTCTTTGCAATGAAATCAAGTTCATACAATCCTGTTTATCGCCCCATTAATGTTGTGCGCTATTAGTTTGCTTTGTCAATGTTCAGGACATCGCTTTTCTAATAAGATCACACACCTTCCATTTGGTTTTATGCAAGCTTCAGAAATCAAACGTAAGAATTTAATCTTATACATGTATCAAATTTAGAGATCATGTAACGTTTTCCATATTGATGTAAAAAACGTTATACCTACAATGACCTCCATCGTTAAATTGTCCCGTCCTATGTTCATTTTCAAACACCTTAACTGTAAAAAACTGTCTTCGTTTCTGTATACAATGGAGTTTTATAAAACTAAACTTTTTGCATGAACTTATGCGAGTACATGCATGAGAGTATATTGCAATTGACAATCGTATTCAAAATGTAGTCTATAGGATTCAATTATGATACTTTAAATGTTCTCACAAAATATGATAATGCTGAAATGCTACTTGTTTGCATGCATGGTAACATAAAGCGGGTTCGGAAGCTCCGAATAAAATATCTCTGCATGACACAAAAGTGCGTATATTATGATTCTTATTTGTCGTGAGACATTTTGAGGGTGTTGACCTCGCTGAATACGTAGGCCTACTCGTGTAAGTTCAATGATTATGTGAAGAATAGACATAGAATGTTTTTTTAATTGGTTTATATTAGCTTGAAGAAAAAAACACGCTATGTTATAAAAGAAACCAACAGGAACAACTTTTACTACATATTATCAAAAGGCTTAATACAAGAAACTCCTGGCACTTTTGAGGTGGATCTGTATCGTTCAAAACTGATTTTTAAGTCACTAGATATCGTGCTAAACTCTTTCCATCCAACACCTCCGTCCTTATAAAAAAAAACCCGAACACCTGATTTCTTATATAAGACTAAAAATCTTGACTTTCTTATATGCAGAAGTCACGTCAATAAAGTATTGGCAAAAATGTCAATGAATTTGGACGAACATTATTTCCCTCACATCTTGACGGGAACGAGCATTAGAATCCCAAGTTTTATGAATTAATCACACACATAAAAACAGGGGCGGCGGAAACGGGGGCAAAGGGGGGGGGGGGGCACTTTTTTCCAGGCCAATACAAGTGCCCCTCTCGCAGTTATAAATGTGTCCCCTTGAGATGAAATTGCCCCTCAAACGCACACATCATGATCGCGCTACAAAATAAAATTGTCTCCTCTCAAAAACACAGGTGCCACTCTCGCATTAATAAGATTGTGCACCTTCTCAAGATGGAAAACAACTCCTCGAAAACACAAATTTCCCTCTCGCAATAATACAATTGTGCCCCTCTCGAGATGGGAACATGGCCATCATGATCCAAAAAAAATAGTACTCCTCTCGAGCTGTAAAACTGCCCCTCGAAAGCTCAAATTTATTAGTGTCTCGTTCGCAACATCAAAATTGTGCCCCAAACTGGCCTATAAAAATAAAAGTGCTCCTCCTCAAGCGAATAAAAATGGTCACCGAGCTGGCCATCAAAAGCAACAGTGCCCCTCTCGCGATAAAAAAATGGACTCTCTACATAACTTGCCAAAATTCATCGGCGGACCCATGCAGAGAGGTTATTGACAGGTGTGGAGGGTGTGCGGTGTGGCGCAGGCACAAAGTCGAATCGGGGGGGGGGGGGAGGGGGCAACGGAGCCATCCCCCCAAAAAAGAATCCATTTTTTTAATGACGCCACAAAAAAGGCAGCCACTACGTATCTCACCATATTTTCCTCAAAACAAAATTGGTTAAAGTGGTCAGAAATTGCCGCAGATCGCATAAACAGCATCTAGAATTCATTTTTTTCTGGCTCTTAATTAAGAGGGCCCGAAACCCCATGCCGTGAATTTGTGGACCCACTTTTTTTTGTGGACTAACTTTTTTCGGCCCCCGTTGCCCCCTAAAGAAAATAATATTGTTTTCTAGATCCGCCATTGCGGAGGCCGACGGGCTCTCCTTTTCACACCGACAGAAGGTGCCCCTGTTTCTGGATAAAGTGCCCCTTTTTGGTGTTGCCCTCCCCTCCCCCCAGTTTGAAAAGCGTTCCGACACCCCTGCATGATATATCAAACACGGCTTCTTCCAGTCAACATAACCACGCCAGGACGAAAAGTTGGCGAAAGGGCAGCGGAGAAAACTTAAGGCACATAAAGAATAAATTCATCAAAACTCTCATAAATTTAGGAAGGAAAGATAGAAGGCCTAATCGTTCATCAATAGGTCTATCAACATTTCCACTTGGCGAAGCAAAATAGCGACCTTGCCAAGCTACTGGACGGGGGTATGCTTAGATTTGTACGTGACACGTTTCGGTAAACAATAGCGCCACCTTGATGAGCCACGCGAAGAAATGAACTGAAATCAAATGAAGAACACCATTGGAAAAATAAATCATTCGGATATCGATTTCACAACCTCAAAAAAGGCATTGAAACCTTGCAGGACCCGAGTCATATAGAACAGACGCAAATGGTTTATTTAAATGATCATGTCATCAAAGCCTGATTCCAATTCCAACCTTTACAAACTCAAAATGCACTATATAGCAGCAAGTTTCACCGAAATGCCAATTATCTCAACATCAATGACAACTGCAATCCGATAACTGGCCTAGATAACAATCAAGTGCAACAGCAACCGCCATACTGACAATTCTAGCAATCCCGACCGACCCCAATCCCGCACCACACCTTCACTCCAAATCTAGACTCTCAATCCCGACTCAAAACTTCTAACAACCGGTCAATCAACGAGATACATCATAGCTACAATCACGGCCAAAATGGTTTGGACACTTCCTGAGCCTGCCACGGTCATCCACAGTCCCCCGCTCCTCCGGTAAATTTTGTTCCCTCCAGATCCAGCTGATGGAGCACACACCGCGCAGTGAGAGACAACATTGAACGGGGGGTTGGGGGCCCAGCGAGATTTGGCCAGGATTGTAGCTTTTGTCCCCGTTTCACGGACCTGTGTATCTTACTAATTCCCGGTCATCATGCATGCTCCAGTGATATTGACTCAATCTCCCGACAGACCGTTAACTCAGTTTCGCCCGCCGTGCTCGGGCGAAATTACCGGACATCGATCGACTGCGATCATTGGGCGAAATGTCAAGCAACTTAGCCGTCTGCATTGTCCCTTATCCCGATCGTCGGTAGCAAACCAAATTGTCATTTTCGGCTCATCTACGATCGGAAGCTGGCTGGAACAATTAAAAACCAAAAGCACGGAAGACCAGCAAACCACGTGATTTAAAACAAACACCGCTAATTGGTTTCGTAACGATTGTTTTCACCCCTCATGTGTACATTGTGCTCAGACTTTTTCTAATTAACTTGATCACAAATTGTGTTTGGTTGCCTCAAGCAATAGGACCAAGACGTTAGCAATAATCATCTCCGAGATTAAGCATATTTTTGTTGGCGCTGTCAGTATCATGAAATTACTCTCACCTTGTCAACCACTTTCTCTCCAACCATTAATGAGCCTCAGACGTTCCTATTTAAGACGTTCTTATTCAAAGTAATTTTTAAAGAGCACCAGGGATTACAAATAAGTCATTCCACTACAAGAGGAATGTAAAAAGATATTGATTTGATGCTGAACTGATACAGGCCTACAGTGAATTAAAACTGGGGAGTGAACGGAGACGAGGGAGGGAGTAATAACATAACGAACTTCCTTGGAATCCACCCAACCCAACCAACCAAACCCACCCTATCCCAAACCCACCTTAACCCAACCTAACCCAACCCAT